ATAGCTATAGCCAACATACCTAAAGTATGTATCACTGGATAGCTATAGCCAATCTACCTAAAGTATGTATCACTGGATAGCTATAGCCAACCTACCTAAAGTATGTATCACTGGATAGCTATAGCCAACATACCTAAAGTATGTATCACTGGATAGCTATAGCCAACCTATCTAAAGTATGTATCACTGGATAGCTATAGCCAACCTACCTAAAGTATGTATCACTGGATAGCTATAGCCAACCTACCTAAAGTATGTATCACTGGATAGCTATAGCCAACATACCTAAAGTATGTATCACTGGATAGCTATAGCCAACCTACCTAAAGTATGTATCACTGGATAGCTATAGCCAACATACCTAAAGTATGTATCACTGGATAGCTATAGCCAACCTATTTAAAGTATGCATCACTGGATAGCTATAGCCAACCTACCTAAAGTATGTATCACTGGATAGCTATAGCCAACCTACCTAAAGTATGTATCACTGGATAGCTATAGCCAACATACCTAAAGTATGTATTACTGGATAGCTATAGCCAACATACCTAAAGTATGTATTACTGGATAGCTATAGCCAACATACCTAAAGTATGTATCACTGGATAGCTATAGCCAACATACCTAAAGTATGTATTACTGGTTAGCTATAGCCAACATACCTAAAGTATGTATCACTGGATAGCTATAGCCAACATACCTAAAGTATGTATCACTGGATAGCTATAGCCAACATACCTAAAGTATGTATTACTGGATAGCTATAGCCAACATACCTAAAGTATGTATTACTGGATAGCTATAGCCAACATACCTAAAGTATGTATTACTGGATAGCTATAGCCAACATACCTAAAGTATGTATCACTGGATAGCTATAGCCAACCTACCTAAAGTATGTATCATTGGATAGCTATAGCCAACATACCTAAAGTATGTATCACTGAATAGCTATAGCCAACATACCTAAAGCATGTATCACTGGATAGCTATAGCCAACCTACCTAAAGTATGTATCACTGGATAGCCATAGCCAACATACCTAAAGTATGTATCACTGGATAGCTATAGCCAACCTACCTAAAGTATGTATCACTGGATAGCTATAGCCAATCTACCTAAAGTATGTATCACTGGATAGCTATAGCCAACATACCTAAAGTATGTATCACTGAATAGCTATAGCCAACATACCTAAAGTATGTATCACTGGATAGCTATAGCCAACATACCTAAAGTATGTGTCACTGGATAGCTATAGCCAACCTATCTAAAGTATGTATCACTGGATAGCTATAGACAACATACCTAAAGTATGGATCACTGGATAGACTATAGCCACCTACCTAAGAGTATGTATCACTGGATAGCTATATGCAACCTATCTAAAGTATGTATCACTGGATAGCTAAGCCCACCTAACTAAGGATGTATCACTGGGATAGCTATAGCCAACCTATCTAAAGTATGTATCACTGGATAGCTATAGCCAACCTACCTAAAGTATGTATCACTGGATAGCTATAGCCAACCTACCTAAAGTATATATCACTGGATAGCTATAGCCAACCTATCTAAAGTATGTATCACTGGATAGCTATAGCCAACCTATCTAAAGTATGTATCACTGGATAGCTATAGCCAACCTACCTAAAGTATGTATCACTGGATAGCTATAGCCAACCTATCTAAAGTATGTATCACTGGATAGCTATAGCCAACCTACCTAAAGTATGTATCACTGGATAGCTATAGCCAACCTACCTAAAGTATGTATCACTGGATAGCTATAGCCAACCTACCTAAAGTATGTATCACTGGATAGCTATAGCCAACCTATCTAAAGTATGTATCACTGGATAGCTATAGCCAACCTACCTAAAGTATGTATCACTGGATAGCTATAGCCAACCTACCTAAAGTATGTATCACTGGATAGCTATAGCCAACCTACCTAAAGTATGTATCACTGGATAGCTATAGCCAATCTACCTAAAGTATGTATCACTGGATAGCTATAGCCAACCTACCTAAAGTATGTATCACTGGATAGCTATAGCCAACATACCTAAAGTATGTATCACTGGATAGCTATAGCCAACCTATCTAAAGTATGTATCACTGGATAGCTATAGCCAACCTACCTAAAGTATGTATCACTGGATAGCTATAGCCAACCTACCTAAAGTATGTATCACTGGATAGCTATAGCCAACATACCTAAAGTATGTATCACTGGATAGCTATAGCCAACATACCTAAAGTATGTATCACTGGATAGCTATAGCCAACATACCTAAAGTATGTATCACTGGATAGCTATAGCCAACCTACCTAAAGTATGTATCACTGGATAGCTATAGCCAACCTACCTAAAGTATGTATCACTGGATAGCTATAGCCAACCTACCTAAAGTATGTATCACTGGATAGCTATAGCCAACCTACCTAAAGTATGTATCACTGGATAGCTATAGCCAACATAACTAAAGTATGTATCACTGGATAGCTATAGCCAACCTACCTAAAGTATGTATCACTGGATAGCTATAGCCAACCTACCTAAAGTATGTATCACTGGATAGCTATAGCCAACCTACCTAAAGTATGTATCACTGGATAGCTATAGCCAACCTACCTAAAGTATGTATCACTGGATAGCTATAGCCAACCTACCTAAAGTATGTATCACTGGATAGCTATAGCCAACCTACCTAAAGTATGTATCACTGGATAGCTATAGCCAACATACCTAAAGTATGTATCACTGGATAGATATAGCCAACATACCTAATGTATGTATCACTGGATAGCTATAGCCAACCTACCTAAAGTATGTATCACTGGATAGCTATAGCCAACCTACCTAAAGTATGTAATACTGGATAGCTATAGCCAACCTACCTAAAGTATGTATCACTGGATAGCTATAGCCAACCTACCTAAAGTATGTATCACTGGATAGCTATAGCCAACCTACCTAAAGTATGTATCACAGGATAGCTATAGCCAACCTACCTAAAGTATGTATCACTGGATAGCTATAGCCAACCTACCTAAAGTATGTATCACTGGATAGCTATAGCCAACCTACCTAAAGTATGTATCACTGGATAGCTATAGCCAACCTACCTAAAGTATGTATCACTGGATAGCTATAGCCAACATACCTAAAGTATGTATCACTAGATAGCTATAGCCAACCTATCTAAAGTATGTATCACTGGATAACTATAGCCAACCTACCTAAAGTATGTATCACTGGATAGCTATAGCCAACATACCTAAAGTATGTATCAATGGATAGCTATAGCCAACCTACCTAAAGTATGTATCACTGGATAGCTATAGCCAACATACCTAAAGTATGTATATCACTGGATAGCTATAGCCAACCTACCTAAAGTATGTATCACTAGATAGCTATAGCCAACCTACCTAAAGTATGTATCACTAGATAGCTATAGCCAACCTACCTAAAGTATGTATCACTGGATAACTATAGCCAACCTACCTAAAGTATGTATCACTGGATAGCTATAGCCAACATACCTAAAGTATGTATATCACTGGATAGCTATAGCCAACATACCTAAAGTATGTATCACTAGATAGCTATAGCCAACCTATCTAAAGTATGTATCACTGGATACTATAGCCAACCTACCTAAAGTATGTATCACTGGATAGCTATAGCCAATCTACCTAAAGTATGTATCAATGGATAGCTATAGCCAACATACCTAAAATATGTAATACTGGATAGCTATAGCCAACATACCTAAAGTATGTATCACTGGATAGCTATAGCCAACCTACCTAAAGTATGTATCACTGGATAGCTATAGCCAACATACCTAAAGTATGTATCACTGGATAGCTATAGCCAACATACCTAAAGTATGTATCACTGGATAACTATAGCCAACCTACCTAAAGTATGTATCACTGGATAGCTATAGCCAACCTACCTAAAGTATGTATCACTGGATAGTTATAGCCAACCTACCTAAAGTATGTATTACTGGATAGCTATAGCCAACCTACCTAAAGTATGTATCACTGGATAGCTATAGCCAACCTACCTAAAGTATGTATCACTGGATAGCTATAGCCAACCTACCTAAAGTATGTATCAATGGATAGCTATAGCCAACATACCTAAAGTATGTATCACTGGATAGCTATAGCCAACATACCTAAAGTATGTATCATTGGATAGCTATAGCCAATCTACCTAAAGTATGTATCAATGGATAGCTATAGCCAACATACCTAAAGTATGTATTACTGGATAGCTAGAGCCAACCTACCTAAAGTATGTATTACTGGATAGCTATAGCCAACCTACCTAAAGTATGTATCACTGGATAGCTATAGCCAATCTACCTAAAGTATGTATCACAGGATAGCTATAGCCAACATACCTAAAGTATGTATCACTGGATAGCTATAGCCAACCTACCTAAAGTATGTATCACTGGATAGCTATAGCCAATCTACCTAAAGTATGTATCACAGGATAGCTATAGCCAACCTACCTAAAGTATGTATCACTGGATAGCTATAGCCAATCTACCTAAAGTATGTATCACAGGATAGCTATAGCCAACCTACCTAAAGTATGTATCACTGGATAGCTATAGCCAACATACCTAAAGTATGTATCACTGGATAGCTATAGCCAACATACCTAAAGTATGTATCACTGGATAGCTATAGCCAACCTACCTAAAGTATGTATCACAGGATAGCTATAGCCAACCTACCTAAAGTATGTATCACTGGATAGCTATAGCCAACCTACCTAAAGTATGTATCACTGGATAGCTATAGCCAACATACCTAAAGTATGTATCACTGGATAGCTATAGCCAACATACCTAAAGTATGTATTACTGGATAGCTATAGCCAACCTACCTAAAGTATGTATCACTGGATAGCTATAGCCAACATACCTAAAGTATGTATTACTGGATAGCTATAGCCAACCTACCTTGAGTACACAATAGTTACCACCTTTCTTCTTTGATAGTATTTGTAATGCTTCATCATCATATCCAGGTGCAATGACGCCATCAGATACCTGTATACAAATATAATAAAACCGTAGTAGTATTGCCAATATTGTGTGCACATAATATGTAATGACAGACTTGCTCCTTGAACACACCAATCATCTCACCCGATACATGGGTGAGTAACCAATCATATCACCCGATACATATCTAAGTAACCAATCACCTTACCTCTCTGGATATAATCTTGGCAGTAGGGACATCACATTGGTCAGACAATGCAACAAAATCACCAAATGATGACATACGATCAGCTCCTAAAAATAGATTTTTTTTAAAATAAATAAATATAAATGGGTATCTATAATTTCTGAGTTATAACGTCATCAGCTGGTTCCTTTAAAATTGGAGGTTGATTCCTAGCTGCCACAATTCATAGAAAACTACAATTCATTTCTGTAGTTGACCTGTGGTGGAACTATTTCTTAAACCATCTCCACATAATCCACATGATTTTGTCAAGCTGATTTCAGATATCACCAGTAGAGTTGTAATGGGTCAGTATAAATAAGAATTGTATGTTTACCTCTAGCCCTA